TTCTGCCGGTCCATGGAGACGTCTCCGTCGGGTACTCTCCTCTGCCGGGCAACTCGGTACGTCGAGACTATCTCCCCACGGCAGATTCGAGCACCTGGATCTCAATTAAACAATGATAAAATATTACGAGAGCCTTGACATAACTGTACGGATCAACCCGAGAGCGTAGCTTCTGAACAGGGTGGCGACCCGAAGGGAACCTGAAATCGAGAACGTTATCTGTATCGGTAACCGGAGCCGCCTTGGGACCGTGATTCGAAAAATCACGTCACAATATCCGTGCCTCCGCCACCAGTCCACTACTTTCCCCCGTTCCCTCCTCCCGAACCACGGACCTACGAACTCCTTGGAGATAGAGGTCGGTGGTACTGCCGTGCTGTCGGCAGCGCGCGGAGGTGCGGGGCCTTCGTAATGTGTCGTCCTGACGCCACGTTACAATATATACAGGGCGTCCCAGAATTGCTTTTGGACCGGAAAGTGGGAGATGCCTGGAGGTGGCCTGAGTACCCTCCCGCAAACCGTTTGCCAAAATTCGCGCGTCGCACTTAAATGCTTCTTATTTAAAAACTATCGTGAATTTTGGCAAACGGTTTGCGGGAGGGTACTCAGCGCACCTCCAGGCATCGCCCACTTTCCGGTCCAAAAGCAATTCTGGGACACCCTGTATATATTGTAACGTGGCGTCAGGACGACACATTACGAAGGCCCCGCACCTCCGCGCGCTGCCGACAGCACGGCAGTACCACCGACCTCTATCTCCAAGGAGTTCGTAGGTCCGTGGTTCGGGAGGAGGGAACGGGGGAAAGTAGTGGACTGGTGGCGGAGGCACGGAGCCCTTTTGAGTTGAGAGCCCGCACGCAAGGGGTGCTCAACCGCCAGAACGCACTGCCGGTACCCCGGGAACTTTGAACGGCTACGGTTTGCGAGTCCGCGGGGAGGGTGCCGGAGAAGAGGTTTGTTTTGATTTTTGACCTACCGCAAAGAGCGGTAGGTAGGATAGAGAGTGTGTCGCGGGGAATCCGCGTGTAAGGACTTGGGTGTCCGGCGGACCGCGAAAAATGAGTCCTTCTTCCGTGCTCGAACGATAGCGGAGCTATCGGATAATCGCGGATTGCGATTATCGGGATCTCTCGCAGAGAACCATGGGTCCCGGTTTTTTTTTTTGTATGGTCTAGTGCCAGTGCGGGCCGAGTGTGTGAAATTCCGAGTGTCTGATGGACACCCTCGTGGAGCCATGCGGCACCACGGGGATAGGCGGAAGGGACACGGCTACCACGATTTGGATTTGGTACGGGACTGAGTGGACAGCCAGTTCTCGGTAAGTACCGCGAGGACGGTCTTATTTAGAGAATATCTTGCGCGAGAAGATAGCCGAGCGGGAGTGGTACGGACACACGGATGCCTCAGGTGGCTACCGACGTCAGAGGGCACACTCCCGAAGAAGGGAAGGCTCGTCTCCAACGAGACTTGTTAGGATCGCGAATCGCGTCGCGAGGGGATTCGCGGATTCAGTAGGGACACCGAAAAAGGGACAGGTCTGGGGCAGGCTAGAAATCACGACTCGGAATAGTCGTGAGCCCCCATTGGAGAACACACTGTACGCGACGGGATTTGTATTGTAAAATCCGCCGTTTATTTGATGGTAATAAACGGAATCGCGGATTCAGTAGGGACACCGAAAAAGGGACAGGTCTGGGGCAGGCTAGAAATCACGACTCGGAATAGTCGTGAGCCGCCGTTGGAGAACACACTGTACGCGACGGGATTTGTATTGTAAAATCCGCCGTTTATTTGATGGTAATAAATGGAATGGTATCCTACTGGCTGTTTTATCATTTTGCGCGCCTAACCGTTGACTCCGAAATTCTCTCTCGTCGCCCCCATGTTCCCCTCTACCATTTTCAGTGCGCTGAGGCTGAGCCGCCGGGAGACCTGAAAACGGCCGTGGTGAGGGATGGTGGTGCGGGAAAGCCGCACCTGGCGCCCAACAATTAGATCTTCGGATCTTTTTACCATTTTCAGTGCGCTGAGGCTGAGCCGCCGGGAGACCTGAAAACGGCCGTGGTGAGGGATGGTGGTGCGGGAAAGCCGCACCTGGCGCCCAACAATTAAATTTTCGGATCTTTTCTTTGATTACAGCACGTTGGGAGCAGCCACGGATTATTTGTAGGCGACGCCGATGAACGGTATACGTCACAAAATACATATATATATATATTGTATTGTATATATATTGTAACAAAAATGTTACTGCAGACTCCCCTCCGCCCCCTGGCTCGAGGTCCCATAGGCCTCGAGTATTGCGTTTTAGAATCAAGTATTGTTAACTGCGTTTATTTAGATGTTTTAGCCATTACGTTAAGGATAGGACCCCTTCCCTCCACCCCTCCCACTCTGCCACCATTCCCCTTCCCCCGCAGGGCACTGGCTCGAGGACCATCGCCGAGGACCAACTACCACCACCAGCAACAAGGACACCGTCGTGGACCTGCCACTAGAGCACAGCATCCCTAGATGGACCGCGAGAGCGGCTACGTCGCCGAGGCAGCGGAAGGCGGGAATGGCATGGGCAGGAGGAACAACATATCGAGTCGCCCGTGGGATGGATGTCCAGCCACCACCATCGCTACCAATACATGCAGCCCCGGTGCAGTCCCGTCACACGGGCAAGAAAAAGTCCCGTGTGACAGCGGCGGAGCCCTCTCCCTCCGAGACCGCGGACGTGCCCGGGAGAGTTTGACAGGTCTGGAGGCCGCCATATTGACCGGCGCGCGCAGCCAGTACGCGCGCCGGCAAAGCCAGCGCCGTGCCGCCGCCACGAGGCCCTGGAAGGCCCGACAACACAGCTGTTTTGAACGGACCAATGCCCTGCCATGCCGGAACTGCCGACCAATGCCGAAGCGCGTAGCCCTCTCACCTGAGCAGCCCCAACCAATTAGCGAGGCCCTG